TATACACAAATAGTTACATAGATTATCATACATAGCAGCATAAGTGTAAAGTACCTAGGATAACCCAAAAAAGTCAGTGTGACTAATTTCCACTGCCTTCACTCAGAGCATCATTTCTTCTAAAAATGGTGTTACATGGGAATGGGAGTGTTCTTTATTTATTTATTCTACAGTATCAATGTAGAGACAACTTGTACACAATGTAACTTGTACACAAACCAGACATATACACCTGGTCTGTTTACAAAACTTGCGTTTGCCTGGTTTGTTTACATAGCTCTGCGCCTGTCCTCCCTCATGTACTCATTCTCTCTCCCTCTAATTTATTTGTTTTATCTCATTTACTCACCCCTGACCCTACATTAAGGCTACAAATATTTTAAGGTAAGTAACGAGTGAACTGTATATGCATTTTATCGTTCTGGGACACTTAAATGTAATAGAATATTATGTGTGGATGGGGCGGCCTGGTATGGTAGCCCGGCTGACTACCATATATACCACACTTTATTTCTTACAATAAATACTACTCATCTCACCACTGATTAAGACTACAAATATTTTAGGGTAAGTAATGAGTGTACTTTATGTGTATTTTACTTTGTTGTTTTTTAATGCCTGGTTCTATTGCTAACTTAATATATGTTAGTGTAAACCTGTTATCTAGTATTTATATGCATTTATAAGTGGAAAAAAGGGCGTTCCACTTTATGGCGATTTCCGCTTTACGGCGGTAGCCTGGAATCTAACCTGCCGTACAAGTGGGGCCCTACTGTACTGTAAAGCAGGACCTTCCTGTACCAGAAACAAATGCCATAAATCAAAGTACAGTGGTCCCTCGATAATCGTAAGACTCGATAGTCGTAATTTTCGGAAATCGTAACGATATTTGTCAAAACATTGACTCGCTAATCGTAGATTGACTCGCGAATAGTCATTCGTCCGGGACGCGTACTCACTCTCTGAGCCGCCCCCGCCTTGCTTCCCAGCCAGTGTAGCATTGTTTACCAGTGAGCGACGGTCCCCTCACTTGCTCATACGAAATATTTCATAATATTCCATTCATTTTAGTGCTTGCAACTACTAAATAAGCTACCATGGCTCCAAAGCAAGCTCCTAGTGCCAAGCCTTTGGTAAAGGAGGTGAGAAATGCGATTGAATTTAAGAAAAACATCATTGAACAATATGAAAGTGGTGTACGTATAACCGAACTGACCAGGATGTATAACAAATCCCGTACAACCATAGCTTCCATCATGGCCAAGAAAAAGGAAATCAAGGATGCTGTTGTTGCAAAGGGAGTAACTATGCTGACAAAAATGAGATCACCAGTACTCGAAGATGTTGAGAAGTTATTATTGGTGTGGATAAACGAGAAACAATTAGCAAGAGATAGTCTTATGATGTCGATTATTTGTGAAAAGGCTAGGCAGTTGCATGACGATCTGGTAAAGAAAATTCTTGCAACTAGTGGTGATGCGAGTGAATTTAAGGCCAGCAAAGGTTGGTTTGAGAGATTTAAGAACTGTAGTGGCATGCACAGTGTGGTAAGGCATGGTGAGGCTGCCAGTTCTGACAACAAAGCAGCTGAAAAATATGTGCAGGAATTCAAGGAGTACATAGAGGCTGAAGGACTGAAACCTGAACAAGTGTTCAATTGTGACGAAACAGGCCTCTTTTGGAAGAAAATGCCAAAGAGGACCTACATTACTCAGGAGGAAAAGGCACTGCCAGGACACAAGCCTATGAAAGACAGGCTGACGCTCATGTTCTGTGCTAATGCTAGTGGGGTATTTCAGAGTGAAGCCGTTACTAGTGTACCATTCTGAAAATCCCAGTGTTTTCAGGAAAAACAATGTTATGAAGAGTAAATTGTGTGTGTTTTGGAAATCTAATAGTAAGGCATGGGTCACGAGGGAAATTTTCATCGAGTGGTTCAATGAAGTGTTTGGCCCTAGTGTGAAGAATTACCTCCTGGAAAAGAAATTGGATCTCAAGTGCCTCCTAGTAATGGACAAGGCACCTGCTCATCCTCCAAACTTGGATGACCTAATTTTCGAGGAATTTGGGTTCATCACAGTAAAGTTCTTGCCCCCGAATACCACTCCTCTCCTCCAGCCCATGGACCAGCAGGTCATTGCAAACTTTAAAAAACTCTACACCAAAGCAATGTTTCAAAGGTGCTTGTGACCTCAGACACTCACCTGACCCTAAGAGATTTTTGGAGAGAACACTTCAGCATCCTCCATTGCATAACCCTTATAGGTCAATAAAGGTAAGTGTTATGCTGTTAATGTTTCATTCATCATGTGCCATTGTATTGTTTATGTACTACGTCTATATTTCATGTAAAAAATTTTAATACTTCTGGGTGTCAGGAATGGATTAATTGTATTTACATTATTTCTTATGGGGAAAATTGATTCGAAAATCGTAGATTTCGATAATAGTAACACTTCCAGGAACAGATTAACCCTTTGAGGGTCGACAGGCCCTCTCCGAAACTCGTTCTCAGGGTCGGCCAAATTTAAAAAAAAAAAAAAATTATTTTCTCTTATGAAAAGATAGAGAATCTTTTCCCGATCATAAAGACACCAAAAGTTTGAAATTTGATAGAAAACTTACGGAATAATGCTCTCGCAAAGTTAGCGGTCTCAGCGATGTTTACGCATCGGCGATTTTGCCCACTTTGAGCCCCATTTTCGGCCAATTTCACTGTACTAGTCGACAAAAAACATGAATATTTCGCTAGAACTCCATTTTTTCTATCGAATGGGTGCAAGAAACCACTCATTTATGAAATTCAACTATCCAGTACAGTGGTCAGAATTTAGTGATTTTGCCAATTTCACACAAATTTCAAAAGATGCCAATTTCCGAATAGGGTCCAGAATAAACAAGAAAGACATTCCTAGCACTAAAATGACATTTCCTCTAGTCATTAGTAACGTCTCAAGGCCCCTCTTATATTCTTTTGCTTTCCACTTTGAATTTTTATTTTCACAAAAAATATAAGATTTACTGTTATGCAGACTACTGCATTAGTGTAAAAAATGGTATAAATATTATTGGTGCACTTGTGAAAGAATATTAGACTCACCAGTTGACGTGTATTGCACGCTTGGCACGATTTGTGTACTTTTGAAGTTTGGTAAAAATCGAACATTTCTGCTACTTTGAGCTCAATTTCAAGGCACTTTTCTTTGTAAAACCAGTCAAAATCATCTCAATTTCTGTAATATGTCTTCCATTCTATAAAATGAGACCAAGAAAACTAGAATACAACAATAAATACCATACGAAAATACACTGCAAAGTCGCTGATTTATTAAAAAAAAATGGTCAAAGTTTTTTTTTTCTCATTATGCACTGTGTGCTGCAGGATTTTTTTTAGACTGTGCACACTGACCACATAGACCCATTCTTTCATATGAAGGCCTACCAGCTTTCTCCCACTAGATTTGAGGCCGCTAGAATTTATGAGTACTAGTACGTCAAAAACCCCTACGCGTAAGACGTACTAGTACGACGAAAACCCTCAAAGGGTTAATTACGATAAACGAGGGACCACTGTACTGTAAAGCAGGACCCTCCTGTACCAGAAACAAATGCTATTTTGGTTTCTCTCATGTTGGACTTAACATTTACAGAAATTTTATACATATTAAAGGACCAAGGACATGGAACAACTTAACAGATCAGTCAAAAGATTACAACAACCTTAATCAATTTAAAATTAAGTTAAAGCAGGCACCATGTGTGTAAATACTTAAGTCAACTCACCCCATTATTTTTTTTTTTTTTTGTAAATACTCCCTACTGCTTTGCACTGGCTTTCCCATATGAGCATTAACCCTTTCAGGGTTTCCGACGTACTAGTATGGCTTACCCACCAGGGTTATTGACGTACTAGAACACCTAAATTCTAGCACCTTCAAATTTAGCGAGAGAAAACTGGTAGGCCTACATATGAAAGAATGGGTCTATGTGGCCAGTGCACACAGTATAAAAAAAAATCCTGCAGCACACAGTGCGTAATGAGAAAAAAATTTTGACCGTGTTTTTAGATTAAAACAGCAACTTTGCACTGTTTTTCATATGGCATTTTTGGTTATATTCTAGTTTTTCTGGTCTCATTTTATAGAATGGAAGACATATTACAGAAATTGAGATGATTTTGATTGGTTTCATAATGAAAAGTACTTGAAATTGAGCTCAAAGTAGCAGAAATGTTCGGTTTTTGCCAAAGTTCCAAAGTAAACAAATCATGCCAAGCGTCCAATACACGTCAACTGGCGAGTCTAATATTCTTTCACAAGTGTGCTGATATTATTTATACCATTTCTACACCATTTCTACACTAATGCAGTAGTCTGCATAAAAGTAAATCTTCTATTTTTTTGTGAGAATAAAAATTCGAAGTGGAAAGCAAAAGAAATGTAAGAGGGGCCTGGGGATATGATTAACGAACAGAGAACTTGTTATTTTAGTGCCAGGAATGTCAGTCTTGTTTATTCTTGACCCTATTTGGAAATTGGCATCTTCTGAAATGTGTGTGAAATTGGCAAAATTGCCAATTTCTAGCCACTTTATTGGATAGTTGAAATTGGTAAATGTGTGGTTTCTTGTGCTCATTTGATAGAGAAAATGGAGTTCTAGCGAAATAAATATGATTTCTGTCGACTAGTACACAGGAATTGGCCGAAAATAGGGCTCAAAGTGGGCGAAACCGCCGATGCATAAACATCGTCGAGACCACTAACTTCGCGAGAGCATAATTCCATAAGTTTTCCATCAAATTTCATATTTTTGGTGTCATTATGATTGGGAAAAGATTCTCTTATCATTTCATAAGAAGACATTTTTGTTTTTTCCCCCGAAAAATTTTTGACCCTGAGAACGAGTTTAGGAGAGGGCCTCTCAACCCTGAAAGGGTTAAGACTTTAATATTCTGTACTGCAGGTCTCCCAGTTCTTGTTGACCAGCACTACATTACTAACCTGCAGGTCCCCCAGTTCTTGCTTGACCAATGCAACATCATGGGTGCCACCACCTTCTGGGGGATCTGGGGGAGACCCCCCAGGCTCACCCTCGGACCAGCCCTTCCACATTCTTCAAATCTGTCACAAAAAAAAAAAATGCTGCATGAAAAATAGATCATACATACCTGTAAGGGTAGTACAGCATCTTGGGAATGAGAGAGAATTACACTGAGATCTGGATTAGATGGACTACTAGGAGTAAAGGGTGTCCATTAATGATAATTGTACATTAAATCTTAATAATAATAATGTTTTGCTGCAATTGTAACTATATATAATTTTGGAAACAACAGAATGTGTCCACTGCTTTTGAAATCAATTTACCAAAGCCGTAGTCATGGACTGGGCTGTGGGGGCATTGGCCCCCAGAACACCCTCCAGGTAGACTCCTCCAGGTGGATCACAACAGTAGACACTTCAGAAAACAACAAAGTCCTGTTTGGATTTTGTTTGTTAAATCTGAGATCCATTAAAACAAGGTTTGACACCATTATTATAGTTAGGAGGAAAGGCTAGACTTGTACACGGCAAGTGTGAGGACGTGCCTAGTGAACTCTTTAAGTGTAAAGAACGATGTCCTAAATATGTTGTGTGAATATATTTAATGTCCTTATTGGAAAGTTTATTTAGGTACAGGTGCACATAAGCACACTTATCATACATAGTGTAAATTACCCAGAATAACACAAAAATGTCTGCTAGTGACTTATTTCCATTGTGGTCCTTGTAATGACTTATTATTTAAAACTTAAAACAGCTAAGTTAACTCAATTGTGTGAAAATCATTTACAATAAAAGGAGATACAATAGTAATAAAGTAAACTGAGCTATTTACATGAACATTAAAGAGAGATGATCAATTTACAATAAGAGGTACACCAATGTTGGCTATACAAGAAATCATTCTCCTCCCTTTCTATAGCTTCATTCATTCATTAATTATTGTTGCCATTGTAGTCATAAGTTAGGCTTAACCCTTTGAGGGTTTTGGTCGTACTAGTACGTCTTACGCGTAGGGGGTTTCGACGTACTAGTACGCATAAATTCTAGCGGCCTCAAATCTCGCGCGAAAAGGCTGGTAGGCCTAGGTGTGAGAGAATGGGTCTGGGTGGTCTGTGTGCACGGTAGAAAAAAATCTGGGACCCAGTGGTGCATTGTGGGAATGCCCTCTTAGTAAACAATGTCCACCATGCCTCGCGGTAAGAAGGTCCTCACTCCTCGGCGAATTGGGACACTTTTGTTCCCCAGTGACAGTTCTAATAGTGATGGAAGTGCCAGTGAAGATGAGTTTCGTGGTTTTAGTGAGGTTTTGACCGAAACTAATGACCATAATATCGGTAATAGTGAGGAAAACCCAGACGACCCTCAGCCTTCCACCTCTGGTGCTGACCCCTCTTGTTCACGTTCAGTTGTTCCAGAACCCAAGAGGAAACTTCTATTTTCCCAAATCCCAGACTCAGATGAGAGCATGGGTGATGATAGTGATAGTGAATATGAACTACAAGCTCTTCAAACTAGTTCCAGTAGTGATAGTGAAGTGCAATATTCCCCAGTGAAGCGTCAGTATATCGAGACATTCGTCTGGTAGTGTGCCATTGTTATAAAAAGGGGAAGGAGTGTACTGGAGTAACCCCGTGGTTACAACGGGAAAAGAATGAAAATGCGAAGTTATGTTGAATTGGGAGGGAAAAATGTGCGTTGGTGGTAGGGGGCCCGGCGGTGGGCACGCAGGGGCCCAGCTGCCCCCACGCTGCCACCCCCCCGCTGCCTCAGTGATCTAGAACAAAGGCCACCATCCCCCATCACCCACCAACGCTCCACAACCACAACCCCCTGTCTTTTGTCCAGTTCACCGCAGACACACCGGGTTGGAGGAAGCTGTAATTTTGTTCCAAATCCCCACCAGTTGATGACAGCCAAAGGGGAAATACGGATCTTGTGATTGGGAACAATGCCACTGAACTGGAATTTTTTGAGTTATTCTTTGACAAAACCACTGATGAAAGAAATTGTAGGGAAAAGCAAAAATATACGAGTACACCATGGCAAAAAATTTACTTTCACCAAAATTTTCTACACCAGGGGAAGGAGGAAACTGGGCGAGTGTATCTTTTCTTGCCCATTAATGCTTATGCCACATGTGTTAAGCCAAAGTGAAATCATACTGGTCAACAGCCCCCCTGATTGAAACCCCAGGTTTAGTAATAATGAGTAAATTGATTTTGCAAATGTTGTAGCCACTTTAGATAAAACCAGGCCCTGACAAAAATAAAAGGGTTTATATAAGATTAGGAAATTGTTTGTGTACTGAAACAGAAATTTCCGTACGCATTTTTACCCCCTTAGGAGTTGTAATTGACGAGTTTTTGATTCTGTTAAAAGGAAGATCTTTTAAGAGTACTCCCAAGCAAGGGAAAACGCTTTGGTATAAAGTTGTTTGTGCTTTGTGTTTTGTTACAGTGGTCGGGTATTGGTTTTTATTGTGTACACTGGAAGTTTTCATTGCAAAATACAGGAAGTTTTTGGGGCACTCAGGTATGTGGTTGAACAATGATAGAACCATACCTTGGTAAAGGGGCATTATTTTAAGATAACTGGTACACACCCCCCTCATCAGTGATTTTTTGCGAGGAACAGCAGATGTGTGGGGCACAGTGGTGCAATCGGAAAAATATGCCCGGGTTTTTGACGTGGCACTCGTAGAGGTGAGGTGAGGCGTTTGTGCAATGACTTGGGCTTTTCGGGGCATGAAAAACGAGTGTCACACTTTTGTTCAATTCACCCAAATTGAAATGGCAGATGGGCAGGCAGCATGAGAGAGAAATAAACCCATTCAAAAACCTGCAGCTGTGATTGTTTACACCTTCAACATGCGTTAGTGACAAATGTGACATGCGTTTGGGGTTTTGCTGATTGTGTTCGCAAGGTTATAAGTGGTCATCAAACGTTTTTCCATTTTCGGGAAATTTTTCCATGCTAAATGCTTATAATTGTATAAGAGAGCCCCCAGAAAAAACCCGTCGGGAATTCTTTTGGGGCTTCATCAGAAAAAGTATTCAAGTCCCAAAGGAAAGCCCTGCAATTTTGACCGCCCCCAAATTTTCAACAATCCCTGCTCGTCAAAGTGGTGATCCTTTTGGGTAAACTGCCTGCTTGTTTTGAAGAAAAGGTAGAAGGGGTGTTAGTTTTTTTCAATAAAAAAAAAAATCCCACAAAAACGCAGAGACACTCGTTTTATGTGTGGGAGTGCAAAACTCCATGTGCATGACACCATGTTTAAAAGACCCCACAGGTTCAGAACTTCTGAAAACACCCCTGTGACTGTATATGTGTATATAAAATATAAAAAAATTTTTAATAAAAAAACTTTTCAAAAATCGTTTTTTTGTGAAAATATTTTCTGTAAACAAAACAATGAAACAGTGTTTTATGCCTTATTGTGTAGTATTGAAAAAGAAAAACTTACAAATATGATCATGTTGGGCCCCTCGAGGCCATAAAAGTTATAGAAAAAAAAAAATTAAAAAAATTGAAAATAGTCATAAAAAAGTAAAAAAAAAAATACCGGGTGACGGCAGTCGGCGATGTTCCCATATGTTGTTAATTTTGGAAATTTCAGCTAAAATTCTCGGTAAGTATTGACGTTAAAATTTTTTTGTTTACCCTAATGTTTAGAAAAAAAAAATTTTTTTTCATAAGAAAAAATAATTTTTTTTTTTTTTTTAAATTTGGCCGCCCCTGAGAACGAGTTTGGAGAGAGCTGTCGCCCCCAAAAAGGGTTAAGGTTGTTGAAATGCTCTGCAAAACCCATGTGCTTTTGCATGCAAAACCAAAGTACCCCTCACTGCACAAAAACTATCATGTGGGAATAATCTAAAAATCCAAATGTCTTTCAGGAGTGTCATCAGGTGAAACTGGGGAAGCTAAAAAGATGCAGCAAGTGAAGAAAAAGAGGGGTCATGAAAAAATAACTGAAAAAAAACGCTGCTTTGGTGGTTTGGGGAGGAAGAGTTAAACTGAATCGAAAGAGTAAAGAATAAAAAATTTTATTTTTTTGTAAAGGGTTTCAAGTGTAATTACAAATTTTTGGTTTTGGGAATACAAAGAAAGTACTATATGCTGGGGCATTTTGGGCAAATATCCTAGACATAATAAACTTAAAATAGACATAATAAGAGTGGGGAGAGTGAATGTGCTTTGGAAAGTAACCCAGTAAAATGCTCTAGGATCAGTGTGGGGTTTATGCAAGCAACAACCCCTGGAGTGCTTGGAGGAAAGACAAAAAAACCCTTCATGTTGGGATGGTATGCAAGTTTTTTTTTAGCCCCGGTAAACAAAATAATCAATTTTATTTCATAGTGTAAATGCCCACTAGGTAACCCAAAAAAATCGTGACTTGTTCCAACGGGGTCCCCGACCCCTTTCAACGGGTTTCCCCGACCCCCTTTTTTGACGACTTTCCCAGTAAAGTATATGGATCTGATTCTATCATGGGATAAGAAAAATAGGGTCCCAAATTTGTCCCCTCGTTACAGCAATAGGGTTCCAGACGTGACCCTATTTTTGGTTTTGGAAAAACCCCGTTTGTGGAGTTCAGGAAGCCCTGATATCAGGAGGGCAAAGAGGAAGATATGCAATGAAAGTTTAGACGGTTAAACAGATTTAAAAATTTTTAATATACCTGTAAAAAGTGGTACTGTGCTAGCACAAAGGGGGGAAAAGGTGGCTGTTAGGGCTTAAGAGGGAAACTGCCCGCTTGCTAAGATAAGATTTGTTGGAATTTTTTAAACCGGGAGAGGGTTAGCTCCCAGTATAGCCCCAAAAAGGGCCAGGTATCATCGGATGTGTTATTCCTTTGGGGGTTTTTCAATCTTGTTTCTCAGGTGAGACCCCCAAACCCGTGATAACACTGGGTACCCATTTCCCCTAAGTGAACGGGACAGCGGTGTAAGGAAAAGCCCTTGTTTTCATCATGCCAGGATGAACCAAGACATCGTATGTGAGGCAAGTGTGGTCTCAATTTAGCAAAGGTAAATAAAGAGGAATTTCCCGGTAAAGTTCATTGAAATGGGAGTTGA